ACACACTGTATATATATATATATATATATATATACAGTGTGTATATGCGCAGCTCAAGGTGGCTGCATGTTGGCGCAGCTCATTCTCATTTATTGCTTTTTGAAAACTTTAATTCCTCTTTATTCTGGATATAAATTACTTTTTTACTATGATTGTTTCCTCTGGTATCGGATGCTGTGCAGCTGGAAGGATTTTTACTGAAACCAGTTTTCTTTTGGACATTTGTTATGATACGTAACCATGGCAACAAGGTGTTTTTTTAACAACCAGGAGCAGCTGATTAACGTCTCACTGGCTCCAATACCTCAACTACAGCCCCAAATTCCAAATGAGTTGAAAAGGAGGCACCGTGGACGAATTCCTGTCAACATGGCGGTGGTGCTCGAGTACCTGACCACTGAGATCCTGGAGCTGGTGAGGAACTCGGCTCGTGAGGAGCTCTGCACACTGCTAGGAGGAGTGACCATCACTCAGGGAGGAATTCTGTCCAGCATCCAGGCAGCCCTGCTGCCCAGGAGGCCCGAGAGGCCCGCCGGATCTGACAGCAAGCTGGATCTGGGACGGATCGGTATCTGTGGCCAGATTGTTCACCTTCACTGCCGGAGATCCTTCCTGCCCACAACTATCAGCATCTATAACAACTCTTTAATGAAACTGGGATGATGAGCTACAACAACACTTAATTTCCCTCTGGGATTAATAAAGTTTTTTTTTAATTAGATTTTATGTTTCTTCTCCATGTTTGTGCTCACAGATTTACTTCTTATCGAGCAGAAGTTGGAGGTGAAGCCTAAATGGAAACAGTTTCTGTAGATTTATTGAAGTTCACGGGTCCACAGGTCCAACCGCTGCAGGTCCAGTTCTCAAAGGCTGACCCAGTTCTGTTGAAGGTGTAAAATTAGGAGGAAAGGATCTGAGCAGCTGCTGACTCTGTGACAGAACCGGCTCACGTGCACAGCTTCACTGACATGCAGAGACAGGTGCTGTCGGACCTCTCACCGTGCACGAATCTCGTGCGCACGTACGGAAATAAACCGGAGCTGGAGTGAAGAGCACACAAAGACCTGCCTGGAGCTGCAGGCCACCAGAATGTGGGTCAGCGGGTCAGAACGCAGACTGTCCTGCGAGCACATCATCGACTTCAAACGTTTAAATATTTACAGAAAATAAATTTAATTTACAAAAGTTTTTCTTTTATTTGTTCAAGTTTCTGTTTCTGCACAACAAACGTGATGCTGAACAGAAGGTGGGTCAGGAACCAGGACCAAAGTGTGGTTCTGGTTCGGGCCGGACGGGTTCTGGTTCTCGTAGAAACAGATTTCAGAAGGTGTGAGTGAAATGAAGCTCGAGCCTTCGCCTGCTCCTCCACAGACCAGGTGAGTGAACAAAGGCATCATCAGCATAAAAACACCTGGGTTTGTGCGTGTGCACGTGTGTGGAGCGTGTGCACGTGTGCAGCGTCTCACTCACCCTCCGGTGCACCTCATCGCTGCTCTCCTCGAACTTCTGCTGGATCTTCTCCTCCAGGAAGTAGATCCTGAGCTTCAGGCTGAAGTTCTCCTTCTTCAGGTCGTTCAGGTGCTGCGAGACAGTGCGGTAACCACGGAAACCAGAGTTAGACATCATGACAGGTACCGTCGGGGGGGTCAGTCGCCCCCCCCCATTCAACGCAGCACGCTCAGGCAGAAACAAAGTTCTGTGATGATGAAACCGATCCGCTCGCTGCTGCTCCACCGTGGCTCTGAAGGAGCGGGGGGTCGGGGATGGAGGCAGGCAGAGGGCATTCTGGGAGTTGTGTGTGTGTGTGTGGGGGGGGGGGTTCTGTTTTTAACCCGGAGACACGCCAAGAATGTGAGACGTGATGGTGAGAGTTGATGATAAACACAAGAGCTGCAGCTGTGTCAGCGAGTGCACGACTTTTTACGAGTTTTAATCTTTAATAAATATTTAAGTTCAAACAGGAGTCGATCAAAACGATGAAGTTTAACGTCTCGTCAATTCACATTTTATCCACAATAAGAGCTAAAGTATACGACAGCTCCTCTAAGAGCTTTGACTTGGTTCAAACTGAAACGGGTTTGGACAAAAGTCCTGCAGTTAAAGACGTTAACGTGAATAAAAACCTCGTTCGAACAATAAAAATAAAAAATTAACACAAATAAACACAAACAAACACAAATAAACACAAATAAATACAAACACAAATAAATA